CAACGGACGATGGGGATGTGAGGAATTCAAAGAGAGATGAAAAAACCGATTTGTACCTTCCTTAAAAGTTGTCCTAGCTCGCTATATTCTAATATCTATATGCTATCTTCACACTGCCGTACTCTAACGGAACTATCAACTCTATGCTTTCATCTACTCCATCTATCGTATAAAAATTACCACTACAGTCTGTTATTTGAAATTAGCATCTTCAACTATATAAATTTAATTTTTAGTCGTGTGATTTTGGTCGTTTGGATGACGTGCTCTCAAACATCGAATGGGATACTCTACTGCGACGGGAATCATTGGACGAGTCTGTATCAGCTTTCTATGATAAACTTTACGAAGTTCTTAGTGACCAAGTACCTCAAAAGAGACAACGAGCTTCTTCAGTCTACAACAAGCCATGGTGGACCTCTGAACTACGTCATCTACGAAACGTCCTCAGGAAAGCACGCAGCCGTTTCTTTCTGATGAAGTCCGATAGGGAGCGGAATAACCTTCAGGAAGTGGAAACAACGTACAAGGCACTTCTCTTTTCCACGTATGAAAGTTACATGGCTAAGATTCAATCAGATGTCAAGCAAAATCCTTCATGTTTCTGGAATTTTGTCAGAAGCCAAAAATCGGCTACTCGCATTCCAACTAACGTTAAATACGACGAAACCATCGCTAGCTCTAATTCGGAAGCAGCAAGCCTATTCGCCAAGACATAAATCAACCCAACGTTCAGTTTTCCGTTGTCTAAGTGGTGAAAACCATTGAAGAACTCGACGTTGATAAAGGACCTGGAATGGACGGTATACCCCTTGCTGCTGAAGAATTGCTCCACCGCACTTGCATCTCCCATAACATCTCTATTCAACCGTTCGCTGCATGACAGGATGTTCCCAGTGGCTTGGAAATCAGCTTCTATCATTCCAATCTACAAATCCGGCAACTGTAATCGAGTCATGAACTATCGAGGTGTTTCTGTCTTGTGTTGCTTGAGCAAAATTTTCGAAAAACTGGTGCATAACGTTCTGTATAACGCCGTATCTTCATTAATCTCCGGCAGCCAACATGGTTTCATGAAACAACGCTCCACGACTACAAATCTGATGTGTTACGTCAACACCTTGTCTCGTGAAGTTGAACATGGACAACAAGTTGATTCGATTTATATAGATTTCGCCAAGGCCTTCGACACTGTACCACATATCTTGGTCATATACAAAATGGTACACATGGGGTTCCCGGAATGGATAACGCAGTGGTTGTTCTCGTACCTGTCGGACAGAACCGGTTGTGTTGTAGGGAATGCGGCACAATCCCAGCCGTTCAACATCACGTCCGGTGTACCCCAAGGAAGCGTTCTTGGGCTGCTGATCTTCAATATCTTCGTAAATGACTTGTGTATGCTGCTCTCTTCTTTTAACCTTTCTTTTGCCGATGACTTGAAGATTTATCGTGTCATAACTTCTTCAGAAGACTGCATGGCGTTGCAAGAGGACATAAACGTTATGCTCGTTTGGTGTAGCGATAATGGAATGCGCGTGAACAGGGACAAATGCAAAGTTATTTCGTTTACGCGACGCACCAGGCCCATTGTCCATCAATTTAAAATGGAATCCGTCATACTGGAGCGAGTTCTATCGATTTGTGATCTGGGCGTTACTATTGACTCAAAATTGAAGTTTAACGAACATGTAGCTATTATAAGCGCCGAAGCATTTTCTGCACTCGGATTTATTCGTCGACATGCTTCAGATTTTACTGATGTGTACGCCACCAAAACGTTATTTTGGGGCATCTGCTGGTTCCAGAATGAGCTCCCCAATGGCATTGTTTTGTGTAAAAATGTGATTGCATCCTACTACAGGTTCCCCCCAGGGCATTCCAGTGACTCTGGAAAGGTCAATGTGGCCAATGATCCACTTCAATTCTATAGAAAGCATATTCATGAAAATCCATGAAGACAGAGCTGTCACACGGCATGTTTTTGAGTTAAAACGAAATTGTTCCCTGCTACAAGTTCCCCCGGAGGTATCCAGTAGTTCCGAGAGCGGCCAATGTGGTCAATGATTCAGTTTAAGTCTATAGAAAGCATATTCATGAAAGTCCATGAAGAAAGAACTGTCGCACGGCATGTTTTTGAGTAAAATAGCAATTGCCCCCTATTACAGGTTCCCCCCGGGGGTATCTCGTGATTCCGAGAGCAGCCAATGTGGTCACTGATCCATTTGAAGTTTAATGAATGCCTATTCATGAAAAATCATGAAGAATGAGCTGTCGCACGGCATGTTTTGGTGTAAAAATGGAATTGTCCCCTGCTCCAGGTTCTCCCGGGGGCAAACCGGAGGTCCCGAGAGCGGCCAATGTGGTAAATGATTCACTTTAAGTCTACAGAAAGAATATTCATGAAAAAGCTTGCAGAAAAAGCTGTCGCACGGCATGTATTGGTGTAAAAACGCAATTGACTCCTGCTACAGGATCCCTCGGGGATATCCCGTGATTCCAAGAGCGGCCAATGTGGTCAATGATTCATTTGAAGTTTATGGAAAGCCTATTCTTGAAAAACCATGAAGAATGAGCTGTCGCACGGCATGTTTTGGTGTAAAAATGAAATTGTCCTCTGCTCCAGGTTCCCCCGGGGGCATACTGGATGTTCCGAGAGTGTCCAATGTGGTCAATGATGCATTTAAAGTTTATCGAAAGTCTATTGACGAGAAACCATGAAGAAAGAGCTGTCTCACGGCATGTTTTGAGTGATTAAATGATCTGCCCGCATTCAGAACCCTTCACCAGAACCGATTCCAGGGAATTGCCATATCTCGGTTGATTATATGCCGATTTTAGTTCTTGGCATATGATTCGCTTAAAAAATGGTTCTTCTTTCGTTGTATTTACTAAAAATATATATATTTAACCAGCATCATATATAATATTTCACCAAAAATTTAGCAAGTTAGACAAGCCCTCCGGAAACTCGGAATATCTCCGGTATCCGGTGACCAGGAATATTTTCGGCTACACCGTAGAACAATATTAGTTTTCCAGTCAAATGCTCTTGGAAGATTTAAAATCGGATCATATTTGACGAAGTTACAACACTCCAAATTGACCAAAAATTTGCCTATCCTAGTTATTTTGAGTAACCCCTGTACAAGTTTCACACTGCCGTTTTCTAACGGAAGTATCATCTCTATACTTTCATATTCAAATCTATCCACTTTAAGTCTGATATGTCGCGTCAAGCATCTCCAACTTTGTAGTATTTCTTCTCCCTCAATAAATCTTACCCTTGGGGCAAGAAAGCTTTTGATCATGAGTGAAATCGGAGGTGGTAGATCCGGAACATCCGTAAAATTGATTGCTGTGTAAATTTGATCAACGTATGCCTTGCTCTATGGCTGCAACTATATGAAATGTAGTTAAATGGTGATTTCTGATATATTCGCTGGACATTGGCTCGAAATGGTCCGTAAAATGTATTGCTTCGTAAATTTGATGAAGTAGGCCATGATTTTTCTATTTATTATTTATATGCGATGTGGGAAAATGGTGTTTGCTGACATATCAGCTGATCATTGGCTCCAAGTTGTCACCAGATGATTCGGAACATCTTTAAAATTTATTGCTCTGTAAATTTGATCAAAGTGGGCCTTGATTTGATCTGATACTACATCTATAAGTTATTTTTTTATTTTAGTTCAACTAATCAAACAATGAAGAAACATTCTAAAATTCTTCTCTCCATAGTTTCGTCGAAAAAGGTAATGTCCTACTTTTTCATTTCATCCCACTGTGTTTTTGGGTATTTTACAGTATTTTTCAGTTATTTTGTAACCGGCAGCCGCCATCTTCATTTTCAAAATGATGTAAGACATAGGTTTCCAATCCATCTGCATCAGTAAGATTCCAAAAATATCCATATTGTTGGGTATTTGACAGTATTTTTTTCTGTTTTTTGTAACCGGAATCCCCAATCTTGGAATTCAAAATGACGTCACACATGTATTTTCGTTTCCTACATGTCACTCCGATAAAAAAATACCCATATTGTGGGGTATTTGACAATATTTTCAACAAACTTTTGTTACGAAGTAAATCACAAGTAAGGGTCTGTTCATAAACTACGTCGAAAGTTTAGGGGGAGGGGGGGGGGTGGCAATTATCCACGGCCCATACATAAAAAAAATGTTTTGTCAATTGTCTACGCAGGGGGAGGGAGTGCAAACATCCCAAAAAACTGGCTACGTAGCTAATGAACAGCCCCTAACGAGTTTTTTTTACGCACTAATTTGATTTCCAAACACTCGGTTTGGTTCGTAAATGCAGATTAAAAAAATTGAAATATTATTTCTTAGTTAATAATTGATGATTCGTGAAAGATACGTGCACGCCTTATTATTTTCAAATCATTTTCAGGATGGAATAAAAGTCAAAATATATATCATTTCCTATAATTGCTACTCCGAGCAGACCAGCAAAGATTTGCCTCCACTTGAGCAGCTGGTGGTCGTACTGGAATCTAATTGGCCTCTTCTCTATTCTATTTCCATTCCAGATCGCTCTCATCCTCCACAACGCCTTCACATCGCACACGACGGATACTTTCGTACACGGCACGTGGCAACCAGCTCCACCCCCAGTACCACCACCCGTCACGTCTAGCCCTGCAGCAGACTGCACCTGTCGGCCGAGTCGGTTGTTGCCATCGTGCGCCAGCCGAGAATCCCCGCCGGGATCATCAACCATCAATCGAGCATCGCTCGCCGCCGTCGTCAACGACTAGTTCCACTGTCGGCCACAACCATCCGGACCACTACGCTCAACGCTAGGTCGGCCGTGCGCCGGAAGAAGCGTCGAAGACGAAAGAAAAAAGTGGCCACCATGGGCCACTATCAAGTGGCAACTCCAGCAGCAACTAGTCTTTGTAGCCAGGCCACAGTAGCGTAGTAGAAGAACAAACTGACAGTGTCGTACGGCAGTCTGACAACTTCGTCGTCTTACGTTTTCTTGAGTGTTTTCGTTCGTTAGTGGTGTAAATTTTAAGGAGTTAAAATTCCAAAAGTGTGTGTGTTTTTTGCTGTTTGACATCGCAAATTTTTACAAGCCGATTCCCCTGGGAGGCCGAGAGGAGCAAAAATTTCAGCCGGAAAATCGGAATTTCGGAGTAAAACGGGTATTTTAAAAATATGTTGCTCTTAGGTATGAAATAGTAGCAACTACGCATACAAATAAAGGAGAAAATCAAACAAGTATTCAACTTAAAATTACTTATCAATAATCATATACGTGAGCACACCAGAAGCCGGCTGTTGATTTAAATTCTAGCAATGGAAAATCTATGCTTTTATGTACAGAAGTGGTGTATTGGTAAGACTCTCTAAACTAAAGGATATCTATCGGATCATGTGTGCGTGAAGTATCGCTTGTAGAAATATTTTAGCGTAATTGTGTCTATACGTAAAGTTTCTTTTAAAATCCGCACAGTAAGGAACACTGATACTCGATTTAAGTGCAATAATCAAATAAGCGAATCGGAAGAAGTCGTATCAATTTGACGAAATACAACACCATGTGGGACCAGCCAATTACACCACCGCCATCGGGACAGCGGATGCTTTGACAGACAATTAGGCAAGGAATTCCGAAAGCCACTCTAGGTTAGCAGTGTGACAAGCAACAGTAGTGCAGCGCAAAGAACTAACGTTACAATGGATTACCCCCTGGTAGCGGCCGGTAACATCTCGCAAGAGGATTTCCTGGCCATCGTCGGTGGAAACTCTTCGCTGTCGGGCCTCGTTCACGGGTTGGCTACGAACGCCCTGAATGATACGCTGGGTGGAGTTTTGGCCACGGGTGACAATCGGACTATCTTACACGGCTTCCCGAGCGGATACACACTGCCGCACATAATCTTCGCTTCAATTATCGTGACAATACTAATTATAGTCATCGTAGTCGGTAACATGCTGGTGATCATAGCAATTGCCACCGAGAAGGCGCTCAAAAACATCCAAAATTGGTTCATAGCATCCCTGGCGGTGGCGGACTTCTTCCTAGGGCTGCTGATCATGCCCTTTTCGCTGGCCAATGAACTGATGGGTTACTGGGTCTTCGGAAACTGGTGGTGCGACATACACTCGGCCATGGACGTTCTGCTGTGCACTTCGTCGATTATGAACCTGTGTCTGATCTCGCTGGATCGATACTGGAGCATTACGAAGGCCATCGAGTATCTCAAATCTCGGACCCCGGCCCGGGCTGCGTTTATGATCGCGGCCGTGTGGATCATGTCGGCGCTGGTTTGCATACCACCGCTGCTCGGCTGGAAGGCGCAACGACCGGAGGAGCACGTCGAGCTGCCACAATGCCAGGTGAGTGTTGACGATGGTTTTGATTAGAGATGGTGACTTATATAGGGTGTCCCAGGAAGTAGCTGCGGTTTTATATTGATATAAAAACACTATATCTTACAGATCTTTAATTTGTGTTTCATGTACATGTTCTTTATAGTATTTGAATGCTAAAAAAAAGTTGGAGGGTCGTGTACAAGACACGACCGCATTGTTAACGTAGGAATACGAAATTTTTGTTCGATTTTCTAGTTTGTTGTTTCGGATATTCACCCCTATTCTGTATTTCGTTTCGAACGAAATCCTCATACAAAAAAATATTTTTTTGTATGAGAATTTCGTTCGAAGCGAAATACAGAATAGGGGTGATTATTTTGGAATTAAGTGAATTTCATAACTCAACTCTTTTGTAGAAAGTTGTAGTGGCCCTGAACTGTGATGGTTTCTTTACGGCAAGCTTTGCTATAATCACTGGACCACGTGGTTATTCGCGTTTATACATATCACTTGCGCAGGAAATCAGTTAAGCATGGCATTTGTGACCAGCATACCTTCCAGTAGCATCAAACAGGTCAAAATTTACCCAAATCTGTCAATAAATTTGTTTGTTTTGCATTTGCTTATAGCAAAATACTGTACTTTTCGGGAACATTCACGCCAAAGAACTCACCAACACACTTGTTGTTACATGCCTCATGCTTGTTACAAATGAAATTTTGATTGCCTTTCTTTTTGAACACGCCGGTAAAGTACACAGACTCCTCCCATCATGAGTAGTTTGCTATCAAGAAGCGACACTGGCTCCTCTCCGTTTGTACTCTCTGTACTTTAAGTCTATACTCTACACTGAGGCAAATAGACCTAACAATTGCATAAGGCTCGACTTATGAACAACTTATATGAATTTCATAAGCGTGACTTATGAATGATTTTCGGGTAACATGAGGTAGCTCTTATAAGCCTTTAACCATTTCATACTTCCAAGCGTTGAAATACGAGTGGGTCAACACATAGGCCCCCTAACCTCAACGTCTATTTTCCAGTTCCAGTTTGCTCCGATTTATCGTTTTTTTTTTGTCAACATTATTTTTCATAAAATTCACACTCATTTATTATGGCTAAAATTCATAAGTGTTTCTTATTGAATTATTACGTGCTTTTAGCTGCGTGTATCTACTCTGTATTACTTAACGGTTCGGATGATTTCGAAGATGTCGCGCAGCAGGAGAATGCAACGATGAGGGTTTCTCAGTTTATGAAAGTGAAACGGAATAAATTTAACCCACCGATAAGACTACAAATAGAACATAATTTATTTCCCAAACAAATTATTTGATTTTTGTATCATTTTGATGTATTTAGTGACAAATTGAATGGGTGAATCATGGGTTACTCTATATAAATTCTATTCTAACCCTTTTCTGAAATGAACTTGGTGGCCCTGAAAAGGGCCGTTTTGTTACGTTGGTGATAAGTTTTAACCCTCGAAACCGTAGAGTGCGGTATTTCCGGTTATATCTACGAAAAGAAACCTGAGGTGTACTGAAGGTGTTCCTAGCAAAATCCTTGATGCCATCACCTGTACTGAACACGCCAAGCGCAAAACCATCAAGGCTATGGATGTCGTCTACGCTCTGAAGCGACAGAAACGCACTCTGTATGGTTTCGAAGGTTAAAACTTATCACCAACGTAACATTGGTGGCCCTGAAAAGTTAGAAGTCATTTCAGAAAAGAGTTATAATAGAATGTATATAGAGTATCCCCTGCTTCCAAGGTTGGTTACAGGATTACAACTGTGGAGAGCAGCGGTACCGGTGGTGTAGTGGTAAGCGTAATTACCTCTCACTCAGGTAAGCGTAATTACCTGGGTTCAATCCCAGTCGGTACCACTGGGATGTTCTGAGGCATAACATCTCTGATCACGCCTTCCTTCGGAAGGGAAGTAAAGCCGTTGGTCCCCGGTTCATGAGTTGATAGGTCGATAGGTAGGGTCCAGATGTGGGTAGCATTGGTGCTCAGCACGGAAAAAAAAATCCATGGAGAATAGCGAGAGCATTTTGTGTGGTCGTTGGGGGCGTGTGGCTGAATTGGCAGCAAAATGTTCCGCAAGTGCATCCTCCCTATTCGTACACGCCCGAAGATCGGAGGCGAATGTCACTTCGACTTGTTTCATCTAGGAACCATTCTCTGGTGACTGTGTTGGGGAATCAGCATATACATGTACGTAATTGGTGGATTTGTTAGTTATTTTGAAGCTTTTGGACAATGCTTGAAATTTACCACTTTTTCAATAGTTTCAATTTGAAAATCAACAGTCAAGAGCATTTTTATCGACGCGTAGAAATGTTTCTGATCGATTGGTGATAAAATTTTTGAAATTGGTCCAGGGGCAGCTAAGTTATTAACGTTCAAAATCTTTCATAATTTCATCTGTCGGTTTTCAAAAAGTATACCCCCATCTTCCCGAAAGACGTAGTCCTACGTCAAAATCAGCAATTAATATCAGAGATGAACCACGGCTGGTTTACGTGCTGCAAATATTTCAAACATTTTTAACTATTATGTTCATTTGTTAATTGGGTGGGGATTGTTAGAATTTTGAGAAATGAAAAATTTTAAAATCTCAAAATTAAGCTGAAATGAAAATTATTAGTACTGCTATTATTTTGAACAATTTTTCCTGGTGTCTCACTTTCCGGCAGGTGCTTCAAAAAATTTAATATTTTGTAATCGTAAAATTGAACATATTTGTAGTTCTTTGGCGAACGTTTCAGCTCAATTGATCATAAGTTAACAAAGTTATATCATGTCAAAGTTGACCATTTTGTATGAAAATCGACATGCGCTGCTATTTTATCGAACACAACTGTACATCATCTGAAAGGGCGTCGTTTTACGGATTGTAGGACAAAAGGTCGAATGGACAAAAGGTCGGATGGAGAAAAGGTCTAATGGACAAAAAGTCGAATGGTGATAAAGGGAACAAAAGGTTGAATGAACAGATGATGAATAGACAAAAGGTCGAATGGACAAAAGGTCGAATGATTCAAAGCGGGTCCAAAGTTTGAATGAAGTAAAAAAAATGTGAATGACTCAAAGAGGGACAAAAGGTCGAATGGTGGTAAATTTGGTTGTGAAGCCCGCTTGACCAGATGGCAAATATAGGAAAGAATACTTGTTAGACTTAAGACTTATCGTTACGTTGAATATTAAATTACTAATAATCAAAATCGATTTTGTTTGCTTACATTACAAACCAATAGTGAAGATAAAAAGGAATAATTTGTTTTTCCTTGATTTGTTTTACGTCAATCTTGTTAACCGCACTGAGTACCAATGCTACTAATGCCAGGTAGGCTGTTTACACACCTGAACCCTACCTATCGACCCATCAACTCATGGACCGGGGACCAAGGCGTGATCAAAGTATTTATGTCTCAGAAAATCCCGAAGGTACTGACTGGGAACTAACTTACATTGTTAGCGTGACTACGGATAGGAATAGCAAAAAAAAAAACCATTCAAGCTGCAATAAACTGGAAAAAACGTTTTGTTCAACATCAGCTTGTTTAAAAAACCTAATAAAGTCACTCCAATACTGTTCCCGAGGATTCAACCAGAGGTTATAAGAAAGAACGATTCGACCATTTGTCCATTATACCTTTTGCCTACCTTGTAATTATTCGACCTCTTTGAATCATTCAACCTTTTTTCACCATTCGACGTTTAGTCTATTCGACTTGTTGTTCCTCATAAGCCATTCGACTTTTTGTCCCTCTTTGAGTCATTTAACCTTTTGCCTTCTTTGAACAATTCAACCTTATTCCCATTCGAACTACTTTTGTCCAATCGACCTTTTGTCTATTCAAAATTTTGTCCATTCGACGTTTTTTCCATTCGACGTGTGGTCCAGTTGTCCATTTGACCTTTTGTCCCTTATGAACTATTCGACCAATTGTACATTTGACCTTTTGTCCATTCGACCTTTTGTCCATTCGATCTTTTGTCCATTCGACCTTTTGTCCATTCGACCTTTTGTCCATTCGACCTTTTGTCCATTCTACCTTTTGTCCATTCTACCTTTTGTCCATTCTACCTTTTGTCCATTCGACCTTTTGTCCATTCGACCTTTTGTTTCTTCGATCTTTTGTCCATTTGACCTTTTGTCCATCCGACCTTTTGTTTCTTCGAGCTTTTGACCTTGCGGCTTTTTTTCATTCAACGTTTTGTCACAGACAAACAGACATAACACATTGAATATTTATCACTGTAAAGGAAAGGTATTTCGTCCATTCGATTCCAAGCAATCATCGTCGGATCGGCCTATTTTTCGCTTTGGACCCACAACACAGTAGTTCACTGGGCGCCCTAGATATCGGTGCAGCCTCACAGATGATCAGCTGTTCAACTGATATGGCAATAACCACAACAACACAGTCCCGAAACACAACCACTCCTTTACATCCAGACTCCACTGATAGACAGCAGCAATTCACTAACAATATACAGTGTACGTCCACGCTGTACTACCAGAATGTACGTGGGCTACGCACCAAAACAAACCAAGTACTGCTAGCACTATCCCAATCTGACTACGATGTGATAGCTTTCACCGAAACCTGGCTCGGTGCTGATATTTCAAATTCTGAATTATCACACAACTATACAATCTATCGCTGTGATCGCAACGCCACAACAAGCCAATTTCGACGAGGTGGTGGTGTTTTGGTCGGCGTCCGTAATGCATTGAACAGTGCCGCTGTTTCGATTGCTGGTACCGAGTGTCTGGAGCAAATAATCGTTCGGATCAAGCTGCCTACATTTAACGGTGCCGGTGGTGTAGTGGTAAGCGTGATTACCTCTCACCCCAGCAGGCCTGGGTTCAATCCCAGTCGGCGCCGCTGGGATGTTCTGAGGCATAACATCTCTGATCACGTTTTCCTTCGGATGGGAAGTAAAGCCGTTGGTCCCCGGTTCATGAGTTGATGGGTCGATAGGTAGGGTCCAGGTGTAGGAGCTGCCTTCCTGGCACGTCGGTAGCATTGGT